GAGGTGGCATGGCTGGTTGAATGCAGAACCAGGGCCCTGCACAGCTGGAGATTTCGGGGGGCGGGGGCTGGGGGACAGCAAATGCTGGTGCGCTGCCTGTTTCTCACTTCAGCCTCACCTCAGGTCTGTGCTGCTTTACATTTTACTGATGGGGAAACTGAGGCTCAGAAGCATTAAAAAAATACATGGATCAGCTGGTGGAGGTGGTGCATGCCTGTAACCCCAGCACTGGGGAGGCTGAGGCAGGAAGATTGTTGCAAGTTTAAGACCAGCCTGGGCTACAAAGCCAGCCTGAACTGCATAAGGAGATCCTGTCTCAAAAAGACAAACAAACCAAAAAAAACATGGATCGAAATTCAGTTGTATAGCTCCAGGCTTTTCTACCGTGAGGGAGACTGAGGACTTGGGAGTGCAAAGGCGGCTCCCATGGCCCTGGAACACCGAGAGCACCTTGTGACTCGTTGGTCATGGTGGCTCAGGATCCAGCCGTGGGAGCTGGGGGAGGGGACAGAGCTGGGCCTGGCCTGTGGGTATGGTGAGGAAAGGGTGCAGGGGAGTGGGGTGGACAGGAAGGGCACTGTGTGATAGGTGAGAGGAGGAGGGAGAGATACTGAGGCCGGCCTGGCGGGAGTGGGGTGCAGAAATGGGGCTCCCTTCCAGCCTACCCCACCCGCCACCTTGCAACCTGGCTGAGGGCCTGGTCCCCTGCTAGGGGCTGCTGATCCAGCCTGTTTGCTCAGAGAGGCCAGGGATAGGCAGCAGGCGGCGGGCCTGCTCACTGCTGCTGCGAGTGGCTGTCCAGCCCCTGTGGGTGGCTGGGGACCTCGCCGGGACTGTAGGCTCCTGGAGGCTGACTCAGCCCAGGGTCTTGGGCTGGGCCCAGAGGATCATGGGGCTGGGACTCCGAAGAGGAAGTAATGGGTGGACAGTGATTGTATCAGTGAGTGGTCTCCCCCACTTCCTGTGCCCTTGTGAATGATGGCTCTAAGGAAGGGCCAGCTGACAGGGCTTATCGTCTTCAAAGGCCTCAGTCTGGAATGATTCCATTTCTTAGAATTTACATTTTATAGGAATACACAGCTGATCTGCTTTCTCCCTTTGCTTTGCCTGCTGGGAGCCTCTGAGTGAAACCCATGGCTGGGCAGACCTCCTAGTATATATTTTGGAAACAAGCCATATTCCTGAACTCATACCAGGCCCCACTCTAAGACCCTGTCTTCTTGCCTACTCCTAATTTATCTCCTCTGGGTTGTAAGGTTCTAGCAAGTTGTTACCCCCTTTCTGAGAACAAGATCAGATGAAAAGACAGACTCCTTGTAGGTTGGGTCTGGAAAGCCCCGGATGCTTAGGGTTGGAAGCTTTCATGCCTGCTTCCCCGTGCCCGAGTGTACACCGGGGATCCTTGTTTCTGTCGGGGACACACATGCATGTGAGGGTGTGTATGTTCACAGGTGCAAGCGGCAGAGGAGGAGGTTCAAGGGAGGCAAAGGAGGAGAGAGGAGTGCTGAGGCAGAGGAGAGCAGAGAGGAGAAACTGAGGCTAGGGAGGGAGAGCAGAGGACAAGCCTGGGGGGGTGCTGGGCCCCTCCAAATCTGGCCCAGCCTGGGCCTGGCAGATCCCCAACCGCCAGTCCCCTCCTCTGGCCTCACCTCCATGATGACTCCAGAAGGGTATCCCGGCCCCTGGCCATGCCAGCCTTGGGCCTTTGAAACTGAGCTTGTACTCAAACCTGCGCCGAGGAGGGGGGCCCCCCTCAGTGCCGAGAGGGTCCAGGAGCAGGAGGAAGAGCAGGCAGAGCAGGACATCGAGACCTCGGGCCCCTGTCATGGTGGAACGGAAGGAGCTGACTTCCGGGTGCCAGGGTGATCAGAGCTAGCAGGCCAGGGAGGGGTCCTGGGCCCAGGCCAGGCGGGAGGAGCTGGGCATCACAGGGACCTGGGTTTTGGCACTGACCTGTCCCTCCCTCCCCAGTACAGACATCCTGTTCCTCCTGGGCTGGTCTCGAGCCCCACCCTCCCCTGCCAACTGAATTGCTGCCCCTGCTTCTGGGCTTCTGCAGCTGGTGCCAGGGGTGCCCAGAGACCACTGGCAGAGGCCTGGCTCTTCCTCCCTGCCAGGGGTGGGGCTGGTCTTCTGCCTCCTGCCTCTGTGCCCAACAAAATGTCCTGACTCTGGCCACCCATCCACCCACCACCTCTTCCTCTCCCCCTCACCTCTGCCCTCCTTCTCTCCGCTTTCCTGAAAGCAAGCTTGTCCTTCCCAGCACTTTAGTGTCCTCACCAATAAATCACATGAACAAGGGAGGGAGGCTTACATGACAGAGCAAATAAATTCACTGGACAGACCTCATGTGGAGCCTACTTTTAACCCACCAACTGGAAAAAAATAAGATAAGTGGGGAAATTTGAACAATGCACATTTGGTTATATTAAGAAATTATCACAGTGGGCGTGGTGGCTGACCCAGTACTGGAGAGGCTGAGGCAGGAGGATTGTCACATGCCTGAGGCCAGCCTGGGCTACATAATGAGATCAAGGCCAGCCTGAATTACATATTGAGACCCTGACTCAAAAAACAACAACAAATTATCTTGAAGTTTTTTAGGAGTAATATGGTACTGTGGTTGTGTAAATCTTGTCTTTTGGAGAAACATACTAAAGCTTTATGGGTAATTTCAGATAGTGTCTGAGATTTGCTCCAATATTCCAGGGCCTGGGGGCAGCAGGGGGCAGAGGCAGTGACGGGTGACCTGGAGTTGGTAATTGTTTTTTTTTTTTTTTTTTCAGTACTGGGAATAGAACTCAGGACCTTGCACTTGCCAGGCAGGCACTTATGCCACTGAGATATATCCCCAGCCTGAGTTGGTAATTGTTGATGGGAGGCTCAGTACACCCTTCTCTCCATCCTTTATCTGAACCTCACCACTTCTGCCTGTCCCCTGGGTCTGAGAAGCTGCCAGAGCTTCTTGTTGCCTCACTGGCTGGGTGCCGGTGGGTGGCACCCACTGGATCCCTGGCACCCAGGTGGGTCCTGAGAGGACAGGGATGACGTGTGCTCATGTGCAAAGAGCCAGCAGCAGGAAATGGGAATGATGGGGGGGGAATGGGTGGTTGGGGGACAGAGAGGGGCCCACATGCAGCTGGAGCTTGCTCTTCTCCACACACGCACTGCTGAGGTCCCTGGACCCTGGCTGGCTTGGACCAGCTGATTAGATTCAATAAAGGGCCCACGCTCACTGGTGTCCTGTTGGTGTCACACTTGCCACGGCTGAGTCAGTGCCATAGACCAGAGCTCCCACGCCTCGCCCTGCCCTGGATTTGGATTGTTCCTTTCCTGTCCCAGCTCTCCCCCAAGGAATGCCCCACCGTCCTTCAGTCCATCCCCTCTCAGCCCTTAGATGAAATCAAAGGTGTCCTTCCCCTTGGTGATCAGATTCACCCAAGCCTCTGTCCTCCTACACACCTCTCTCGCATCCTCCTCTCCTGTTACAGCTCCATTACTCAAAAAGCCATTGGTCTTGGATTGCTCCCTCTCCTCTAGCTGCTGCCATCTTTTTTTTTTTTTTTTTTTTTTTTTGAGACAGGGTCTCGCTATGCAGCTCAGGCTGGCCTTGAGCTCACTTTGTAGCCCAGGCTGGTCTCGAACTCGCAACAATCCTCCTGCCTCAGCCTCCCGAGTGCTGGGATTACAGGTGTGGGCCACCACGCCTGGAAAGCCGCTGCCATCTCAAAGGTCCCTACCAAACCCAGGTCCTTGGTGACCTTCTTGCCAGCATGTGGCACCTGCCTGTCATCCCCGCAGTATGGGAGACTAAGCCCAAGCTGGGTAACTTAATGAATTAGCAAGAATTTATTTCAAAAAATAAAAAGAGCTGGAGATGCAGCTTACTGTGGATTTCAATACCCAGTACCATAAAAAGCAAAAACAAACAAACAAACAAACAAAAAAAACCCAACCCCAAAATGACCTCCTTGAGGTTAAGAGGGGAGCAGGGACTGTGGCCCCCTCAGGTCTCTCCTTGGCCTCCTGTTCTCAGCTACTGCCTCTGCACCAGGCATGGTCACCTCCTCCAGTTGGCCTTCTGTGAGGGGAGCTCCTCACCCATGGGGCCTTGGGCTCGCCCCTCTTCTGTGCCCTCCAGTGACCTCGCCCTTGTCTATAGCTGTGCGTTGAATCCATCCGCTCTGATGCTCCAGGTCTCCCCGCCAGCTTCTGGGGCCGCAACTCACCGAAGAATGCTCTGCAGCCTCAGAGGCTCTTCCAGCTTCCCACCCCCTCAATGGAACTGGGGCCCTACCCTCCCTACACCCACTGGCCATCCATCTGGTCAGGTGTGGCTATAGCTCCTCCCTCCCTGTTATGGTTGATACATTGTTCAACTTGAGCAATTTAGAAGTTTGACTAAGTGGCTCAGCAGGGGGCCAGGGTCCTCACTTTGTAAACATCCTCACCCTCTGCAAGAGGAGGGCATGGAGATGGTGTGGGTACTGCACCCACGGGAGAGCGGGTAGCCTGCATCCAATATAAGGGAGAAAAACAGGCTTGCTCTGCCCTCCTTGTGCTCTTGCTGCTTTTGCGGGCTTCTGCCGCCTTGACGTATTGCTTCTGTCCCATGCCGCCCTGCCTTGGAGCCAGCCAGGTATAGACTGAAACCTCCACAAACTATGAGCTAAATAAACCTTTTCTTCTTTACTTTTGTTTTGTTTTTTCCGGTACTGGGAATTGAGCTCACAACCTTGCGCTTGCCAGGCAGGCACTGTGCCGCTGAGCTAAATCCCCAGCCCCCTTCTTCTTTAATTTTGAGGGTTGAGTATTTCATCTCAGCATCGAGAGAAAAGTAACTAAGACACACTCCTTCAGTCCATACTCAATCCACTGGTTTTTTGAGATAGCTTCTAAGTTTCCCAGGCTGCCCTCAAACTTAAGATCCCCCTGCCTCAGCCTCCCAAGTGCTAGGGTTACACAGCAGCACACACCAGCCCTTATTTTACCTCTGACATCTCTCTAGAGTTCATCTATCTCCCACGTGTCTTTATTCCACCTTCCTCAACCTCACTTGACCAGAACAACTTTTATCTACCATGTCACTCTCCTAAGAGGAGCCTATCACCTGCTTCCTGTAGCTCTTGACTTGAGAAAAGCTACTCCCTGGCCACAGCTTCAGCTTTCCAGCCCCATTTCAAACCTCAGCGTCCCCCTCTTTGGCGGTGCTGGGAATTGAACGCAGGGCCTTGTGCATGCCAGGCAAATGCTCTGCCACCACGGTGCACCTTGGCCCTGGTCAGCAGCAGCGCCCGTCTTGGCTCCTCCCTTCCCCAGCACTGCTAACGCCGACTGAGCTGTGGCTCTCTCCCTCCGTGTTCTGCTGCCTCCCCGCCTGGGTTGAGGAGTCCAGCGGTAGCACTGGTGAGCTCAGGTATCTGTCGTCCCAGCCATGAATGGCACAGGGACTGTCCTCCCACTCAACCCCATCCCGAGCATGCGGCACGTGTTCTGGTATTTGCTTGGGAATGAATTTGCCCACCAATGTGTGTGAGATTCAGCAAGAAGGGCAAGGCTGCTGCCTCGGGCCAGGGCGAATGCGGGGCTGGAACCCTGGAGGGTGGACGCAGGCACACATCCAGTCGGAGCTCCCCGGGTTGCTGGTACTGGTGGCTGGGACAGGAGGCTCAGGGCTCTCAGGGAGCAAACCCAGTGCTCCCTCCTTCCAAGGCTCTGCTGCCCCGGGGCAACCCTCACTCCCATCTGTGTGCCCTTAGTGGGGCAGAAAGGAGACGGTAGCTGGATACAGGGCCTGGAGCCCCAGCCTCTGCAGAGTCCAGAAAGGCACAGGGGCGGCACGCTGGCGATGGGCCGCAGCTGCTCTGTGTTGGGTGAGATGAGGAACCAGCCCCTCTGTGATTCTCCACGGCTGACATCTTTGGAGACAGGTTCATCTTGTTCCCTGCCTTGTCTGGTCAGCCCCCCACCTCGGCTCCAGCCCTCCTGTGCTGAAGGCGCGAGCCATGAAGTAAGACGGGCAGCCAGAACCCGGGTGGCATCCTGCAGGGAAGCTGCACACCGGGCCCGGGTGGCATCGGGGGAGGGCGGGCAGTGAGCGCTCCCCACAGGTAGACACAGGACAGTCGCTCGTGCAGCTGACACAAAGCGGCGGCTACATCTCCTGGCCATGCTCCCCAGCCCCCAGACAGAGACAGGGGGAGACACGATGGCATGGGCACGGCCGGGCGGGACAGGCAGGCTCGGCGAGGAAGCGCCGTGTCCTCATGGAGTGGTTTATTACGATTCCATCTCACAAGGTGGGCGGCAGGTGGGCGGGTGGTGGCAGCGGCACATGAAATCAAGCCCCTGACAGACGTCTGCCTCGGGCGCATGCAAACAGTGCAACATGGTCAAGCGCAAACACTAGGCGGCCGAGGCGACACGGCACACGGGACACGGAATACGGAATGGGGACCGAGGTCGGGGCAATGGGTCCCTAGAGAGGGGCCGCTCCCCCCACCCTCGGGGCAGGACAGGAAAAATAAGATTCGTACTTCTTGTAAAATGCCCATTGGCTGGGTACTTTCTTTCTCCTTGTCTTGAAAAATAATAAAAAATAAACACACAGAAAAAAATCTCAAAAAAGGAAAGGAATAAAACTCTAAGGAGGTGAGTGGTGGAGGCTGGGAAGGCTGACCGCAATGGGCCCCACCTCCTGCCCCTCACCTCCACCTGGCTCAGGCCCCTCAGCCCTGCAGGCGGGTCCATGAGAGGAGGTGCCAGGCCTAGGCCGGGTCCCAGGGCCGGAGGGGATAGGCAGGGACAGAGGAGAGAGGTCCGCCGTTCTGCTGGGGCTCAGTCCGGGCTTGGCCCAGCGTGCGGCGGGGCACCGGGTCCCTGACCTCCAGGTCTGTCCCCCCCACGGTCACAGGTGCAGCTCGTGGGCCTTGATGTGCTCAAGCTGCTCTCGGAGCTGTAGGAAGGAGGGGCGCGTGGCCGCGTCCAGGTGCCAGCAGTTCTTCATGACCTCGTAGACGGCAGGTGGGCAGCCATCTGGGGCGTCCATCTTGTAGCCCTTCTCCACCCGAGGGACGACGTCCTTCAGGGGCTGTGGCAGGGGTGCTGGGAGTCAGTGGGGGCCCAGGCCGAAGGGTTCACCTTCAGCTCCACCTCAGACCCAGCCAGGAAGTGACCCAGGGGCTGGATCCCTTGCCAACCCCGAGGAGCCAGCCATGTCCCAGGCCCAGCATCCACACTCACAATTCTTGGGTAAGGCACTCGCCCGAAGGAGTAGATTTCCCAGAGAAGGATCCCGAAACTCCACACGTCGGACTTGGTGGAGAATTTCTGCCAGGCGTGCGGGAGAATGAGCATCAGATGGGGAATGAGGGGTGGCAGACGCCTGGACCCTTGCCCACCGTTGCACGGCCCCGGGGAAGGCGCACCCCACCTTCTCTCGCAGGGCCTCAGGCGCCGTCCACTTGACAGGCAGCTTGCCCGTGTCCTGCGTGCTCGAGGCCTCCTTGGTGAGGCCGAAGTCGCTGACCTTGGCCACATTGTCCTCTGACACTAGCACGTTCCGGGCAGCCAGGTCCCGGTGCACAAAGTTGTTGCCCTCCAGGTATTCCATGGCTTCGCAGACATCTCTGGGGACAGGCCGGTCACATGACCCCCAGGTGAGGCTCCCGTGGCAGGGCAGGGTATCCCCTCGACCCCCCACCCCACCCTACCCAGAGGCTGTTCACTCACAGCGAGAACTTGAGGAGACAGTCTCCGCCCAGCACCGACCGGCCCCGAGACCGCAGGTAGTCCACCAGGCTCCCCTGGCCAGCAGACAGACAGACAGATAGACTAGCCCCAGGGCCCTTGGGAACGTGGGCTCAGGGCTAGGGAAACGGGAGAAGGGGAAGAGGGGAGAGAGCCAGGCCATCTCTGCTGGACACTGTGCTCAGCACCATTTGTTATCTCCTGTTTGTTTGTTTTTTGAGACAGGGTCTCACTGTGTAGTTCAGGCTGGCCTTGAAACTGAGGTGAACCTCCTGCCTCAGCCTCCTAAGTGCTGGAATTACAGGCATGTGCCACCACGCCCAGCCACTGGTGATCTCTCAACCCTTGTGAATCTCTGGGATAGACTTCATCATCATTTCCATGTCATAAATGGGGACACTGAGGCTCAGGGGTGACACGATTTGTCCAAGGTCACCATCAGTAAAGGATGAGCCAGCACAGAAGTCAGCGCCTGGTGACCTTGAGCTCAGCGGGGTGTGGAAGCTGGGGGTGCAGGGCACGGGGGGTGGGGGTCAGGTGCCCACCTTAGCCATGTACTCAGTGACAATGTAGAGCCCGCCTTTCTCCTCCACGATGACGCCCAGGAGCTGCACCAGGTTGCTGTGCCGAAGTTGCCTGGGGTGGATGGGGCCATCAGAGCCTGCCAGGCCTCCCTGTCCCCTGCCTTGGCTGGGCCACTGCCCACCACCACCGCCCACTTACGTCATGACAGAGGCCTCGGCCAGGAAGGCCTGGGCGGTGGCGTCATTCTTGATGCACTTGACAGCGACCTTGTTGCCCCGGTAGTCGCCCAGCATCACATCTGCGGGGAGAAGGGGAGTTGCGCCCTGCCTCCCTGCAGCCCACAGCCTGCAGCCCGCAGTCCCCAGGGCCCGGCCCCTTGCTCACCTCCGAACTCCCCCTTCCCGATGGTCTGCAGCAGCTTCAGCTCCTTCAGGTTCAGGGCCCAGCCACCTGCAGGGAGGCTCAGTGAGGGAGTGGGTGGGTGGGGTTGCAGCTGGGGTGACAGGGAGGTATGAGGGTTCCCGGGGGGAGGTCGGGTAGGAGGCCAGGGTGAGGGCACTCACTGCGGTAGAACTCGTCCTGGGCCGCCACAGTGCCCTCCATGACCTTTGGTTTGATGAGGCGAGTGCAGAGCCCGTCCGCATCTGTGGTGTAGTGCTGAGGAATAGGCATGGATGGGCTCAGAGCCAGCAGGGCTGTGACCCTTCTGTGCGCCTACAGGCGCTGCTCAGTCTGGCCACCAGAGGGCGGTAGAGGCTGGGCACACCCAGCCTGGAGGTGCCTTTCCTTGAGGGCTCCCCTGGAGGACTCCCCATTATTCACTACTTAGCCCAGGCTGGCTTCAGACTCATGGTGATCCTCCTGCCTCAGCCTCCTGAGTGCTGGGATTACAGTCATGTGGCACCACGCCCAGCAAGGCTCCCCATTTCTCACAACCAGCTACTAGACAGATGCTTGCCTCTCACTACCAGAGCCCTAGGGTGGAAGATTCTGGCTTGGAGCAGACACTAGACTCCAGCCAGGCATGCCCATGACCCTGGCCCTCTCTCGCCACAAGCCAGCCAGGCCAGGCGGGATGGACACAAGAGTGGGCAGAGACACCAGGGAGGCCACCAGTAGCTCTGGGTGTTGGGTGTGGCCCGGGGCGTGGCTCACGCCTATACACACCTATCTGGGCATCCACTTGTGAGCAGCTGGAGAGAAGTGAGTTCTCAGATCAGACAGGCTTGGGCCTAATCCTGGTGCCCCCAGTGTATAGCCAGGAACGGTCCTCCTTGTGGGGGCTGACATCAGCCCTGAGAGGGTTACCAGGTGGGACCCGCCCGCTGCTCACCTCCACCAGCTGCATGAGGTTCTCAAAGTAGACCTCCTCGTCGATGCTCAGCTTGCTGGCGTGATACATGATGCGGTAGTGCTCCACCTTGCCGTCGCAGCTCACGCACAGTGTGTAGTCGCCAGGGTAGTTGGTGCTCTCCCGAACCAGGAACAGGCCCGTCTCTGGTGGGTACAGGAGCCGCTCGGCCTGCTCCCGGGTGATCTTGCCGTGGAACCAGCTGGGGGGGGGGCAGGGCCCAGGGTCATGGGGACCCCTGCCGCCCTCCCCGTGCTCCGCTCTCTGGAGGTGTTCCCTCTCTCTTACACCGCCCCAAGGCCCCCACTTGCTCAGCCAGGCATTTGAGGACCTTACCTGTTCCTTGTCCTTTTTTCTTCCTCCCCATGCCTGTCCTGTCCCTCCCAGGAAGCCCCCACCTCCACACCAGTGCCTCTCGCCAACCCCAGCTTTCCTAGACATTTTTCCAGGAGGACCAGGCCCACACCCTCGCCCCTCGCCCTGGGACCCCTCCTCACAGCACTCACGGCATGAGGCTGAGTTTGGTGCCTGCCTTCACGCCCTCCCGCTTCTGGACGTAGTTGGCCGGGATGATGCCCTCACGGCCCACCTTGTTCTTGGCTTTGTACCAGTTGGGATCCTGGGGGAGGACAGCCCAGACATGTTCTCAGGGCCACCCCCCAATGCTGGGGACCCGACCCAGAGGCCCCAGGGGTGGGAAGGTAGGGCAGCCATGTAAGGTCCCCAACTACCTTGGTGACAGCCACAATGGTGAGCACATCCCCTTTGCAGAAGGGAAGGTCCTGCTCGGCAGTGCCGTGGAAGTTGTACTTGGCAATACATTCTGTACCGGACGGCCAGGCGGCCTGCAGGGTGGGTGACAGGTGGGTGGGAACAGCCTGGGCTCCACCCTACCCACCTGCCCACAGACCCTGGAACTCGCAGGCTCTAAGCTGGGCTCCCATGAGGCTGATGAGGGGCTCCTCCCTTGAGAACTCTGAGTCCCCTCAAGCTGAGATGCCCCTACCGCTCAGACCTGTGCCTGACGGTGCAGGCTGGAACTTTTATCTTTTGTGTCTGTGAGTGGTACTGGGGATAGAATCCACAGCCTTTGCATAGGCTACATCTCCAGCGCTTTTTACCTTTTTTTTTTCCCCTCTTTTTTAAGACAGGGTCTCACTATACAGTTCAAGCTGGCCTTTAGCTCACTTTGTAGCCCAGGCTGGCCTTGAACTTGCAGCGATCCTCCTGCCTCAGCCTCCAGAGTGTTGGGATTACAGGCGTGCACCACCACACCCGACCCATTTTTACTTTTTAATTTTGGCAAAACTGGGCTTGAACTTGTGATCCTCCCTGCTCAGCCTCCCAGAGCGCTGGGCTTATAGATGTGTACACCACGCCCAGCTTGGAATCTTCCTTTACTGAAAACCTGGGCTGGGACAGAGGACTGTAAAAAGGGAGAGCAGGCTGACCTAAGCCCACGTCTATCTCTCCTCTGCTCAGACGAGTGGGCGTGGGATACGCAGTGTACTAGACCCCACCCCATGGTACCTGTATTGCAGACATCTTCTCAGGAGATCTGGGGTCCCCGTGTCACAGGAAGGCCGAACTGTCACTTGGTACCATGAGAGCTGCGGGGAGGAGAAACTGAGGAGGGTGGGAAGAGATGGCCCTCTCCGAGCAGGGGCCCAGCTCTGTTCTCTCCGGTCTCAGGCAGGAGCATGAGGGCTGAGCATGCGAGCGGCAGGACGGCCACAACCCGAAGTCCAGAGGGGTCTTACAAGTTGGGCAGAATGACCAGGAGCAGCAAAGCAGTCCTGGAGGCTGGCAGCGGTACAGCCACCGCTGTGAGCCCCAGCTCACACGCTGGGCTGAGAATGGGGAGGTTCCGTGTCACCAGCAAATGCCCTGTGCTCCGTGGGCCTCACAGGTTCCCCCTAAAAGCTCGCCTGGCTGCATCTCTGAAGCCAGTTCCCAGTGCACACCCGCGAGGCACAGCGCATGTGTCCACCAGGGCAGGCACAGGCACACAGCAACGCCATCCTTGAGCCGGGGACTGTCCAAGTGTCCAAGAGTGAAAGGGACAACCACAGGGCGGTCGCAAAAGGTGCTGTGCAGTGCCAAGTGCCATCCCCACAGCTACTAAACGGCCCTGATAAATTTCCCGATTTTGACCAAGTAGCCAGGCACAAAAAGAGGAGACTGTGTGACTCTGTGATTCCATGCAGATGGTGCCCTCAGGAGGGGAGACCAGAAGCGGTGGGAGGGGACCATGGGGATGTGTTATCTGGACTGCTGGGCCTAGCCCTACCCGGAGATTCACAGAGCTGCACCCAAAATCAACTGGTGTGTTTCTTGGTGTGTGCTTATGACAATAAGGGTGACCCCCTGTGGTGCTGCTTGGCCATGCGCCCCACAGCCAAGAGTAGCAAACCAGCGTCCCCTCGACCACTGCCACCTCCACCATCCCAAACACGGCCCCGACCCTGATCCGCCTCAGGGAAGAAGCAGAGGGCTGCGGCTGCTGTCCCTTCTCGGGAGGACCCCAGCAGAGCAAGGGCCAGGCCCTTCTTGGTCCCACTAAGTTAGCACAGACTCCTGTAAGCCTCGGTGGGAAGCTCATCAACAGGACAGCGGAGGTCCGCCTGCCAGGCAGTGGTCACATGCATCACCACTGGGCCCTGCCCAGCCAGCAGTGCAGTAAGTGCTGGCTGGGGCGGGGCGGGAGAGCTGAGCCTTGAAGGCAGGGTGTGCTCAGGAAGGCACGGTGTGGGCCAGAGAAGGTGCCAGGGAAGGTAGGTGCGGCTGCAGCTGGGGCAAAATAGTCAGGTTGGGGACAGGCACAAGGCACAGTCCAGGACCTGGCTGAGGTGTGGCAAGTGGTGAGGGCAGGTGGGACACATGTTCACTGGGGCTCTGTGGCCCCAAGTTTCCTGAGCCCACCACGAGCACCCTTTTGCCTGTGGTGTGGGTTTTACACTGGGTTGGCAAGCTGACAGGAGGCTTCCAAAGCCAATGTGGGAAGCCAGGCATGGTGGCACACACCTGTAACACAGCACTCAAGAGGCTGAGGCAGGGGGCTGGGGATTTAGCTCAGCGGCACAGCGCCTGCCTGGCAAGCGCAAGGTCGTGAGTTTGATTCCTGGTACCAGAAGAAAAAAAAAAAAAAGAGGCAGGAGGATTGTTGCAAGTTGGAGACCAGCTTGAGCTACAAAGTGAACTCAAGGACAGTCTGAACTGCCCAGCGGAGACCCTGTCTCAAAAAGACAAAACAACAACTAACAAAAAAATAAAGCCAATGGAGAGTGAAGGGTTAGATTCGGGGGGCGTCAGCCAGAAATATGGGCCCTTACAGCCCAGCAGGAGCTGGGGAGCAGGAAGCCAGGTACTACCTGCTCCAGGATGAACCCCACCTCTGCAGACAGGTGGCTGGGGTGTTACCTGGCTACATTCCACTCAGGGTGCTGGGTCCATGCTGTAAGCCCCACAGCCCTCAACCTGATAGGGGCCAGAGACACCCTGCGAGCAGGTGGGAGGGAGCGGAATGAGACCAAGCTCGGCGCACCCCCAGCCCCAGCCCTGCCTGCACCATCGATGCGCTGCGGTCCAGATACCCGTACCAAGGCCCAAGGAGGCCGAGCAGAGTCCCGGGCCTTGTAGGCTGCATGTTACCAGGGGGTGGGCTGTGTACTCTCCTCCTCACAGATGTGGAAACTGAGGCACGAGAGGCTTAACAGTTTGCCAAGGCCACACAGCAAGCTAAGTGTGATGTTCTGAGCTGGACTTGGTTTGTCCCCCTAGCTGGCTCAGCCACCAGCTCTCCGTACCCCACACCTCTCCACCCTCCCCAACTCAGCGCACTTGCTGCCACAGCAGGGGGGCGTGGAGGCTGCGCAGTTAGTCACCCTCCAGCTGTCAGTTTGCAAACACTAAGCCAGGCCTGCAGCTGCTGCCGCCGCCTCCCCACTGCCTTGAGGATAATAATAAAAAATAATAACAGGCCCTGTTTTCTGAGCACATATTCGGTGCCAGGCCCTGTCCTTGGCACATCACCGCTCATCCAATCCTACCAGTGCTGGGACAGGAGGCTGTTATTATCCCCCTTCTGCAGATGAGGATCTAGGGGAGCACAGAGAGGCATGTGGCTTTGCCCACGGCGTCAGGAGCTTGGAGTTTTGGACCTGGGTCGGCCACCAATGTGCTGTGCAACCTAGGGAACGCCACTTGACTGCTTCCACTCACTGCTCCCGGGACACACACACCCTGGTAGCCTCCCTGCCTCTCCAGTCCCTGTCCACTCCCCAGGAAGGCTGCTCAGCCTAGGGAGTGCAGCTAGGGACAGTGCAGTGGGGCAATGTCTGCAATGGCATCGTAGGAGCAAGAGACCGGGACATAGCCTTTATGTCCACTAACGGGGGACTAGAGGAGCAAACCACCAGGTGGCCCCAAAAAGAAACTGCACAGCTCCAGCTGCGAAGGGGCCAGATCCTTAGTGAGGACCTGGAACACTCCCTGAGAAAGAGCAACACGGCAGGGCACAGACTGACGGCATGAAGAAAAGCCTACCCGGGAACACAGGACAGAGACTCAGCTATTAAGCATCACCCTACAGATTAACTAGAAAGAAGAAAAGGATCTTCACATTATGGAGAGCTGGCAGATGCCTTAACCAAGTGAGCAAAGTAAATTAAGCACCACCAATATGCACACAAGCAAGGTGACACATCCCTGAAATCCCAGCACCCAGGGAGGCTGAGGCACAAGGATTATGAGTTTGAGCCCAGCCTAAGCAATGTAGCAATTTGACAAGACCCTGTCTCTAACTTTTAAAAAGGGCTGGGGATGTAGCTCAATGCAAAAATCCTGGTCCAATCCCCACTATAGGTATACTGCACTAAGAAAAAGGATCAAGCAGATACCACGTACCTCTGGCCACCATGTTCTGAGAAGGACACGGCCTCTTCTGGGTGGTCTTCCTGCTGGAGGTGTTAACCTGACTCTGATCAAGAAAGGCAACCGGACAGTCCCTAACCTGCTGGCCTGAACTCTGGATGCTAATGTTACAAAATACCAAAAAAAAAAAAAAACAAAAACAAAAAAAAAAAAAAAACCCAAAACTAGAGAATGTTCTAGATTAAACTGGATGTTAAAGAAACAGGACAACAAGATTTAATGAGTGATCCTAAATTGGATTCTGTATGGGGGTGGTGCTGCTATAATAATAATTTGGAGAGAACTGGGAAAATGGAAAAAGGGATAATAAGGAGCGAATGTAAATTTTCTTGAGCGCAGTTTTGTAAAAGGTACATGCAAAGCTGTCAAGAAGGAAAGATGATATTTACAACTGGCACACAAACAAACCAGCAAAGAATGACATACACACACCTACATCTGGGTAGATAAAAGAGGAAAGGAGAGCAGAAAGTTAAGAACTGGCAAATCTGCCTGACAAATATACAAATACCCATCATATCATCAACTTTTTATGAACTGGCAAATCTGCCTGACAAATATACAAATACCCATCATATCATCAACTTTTTATGGGTTTGACGAACTCAAATGCTGTGGAAGGAGCCAACCACAGACCACCTATGGTGTTCTACATGGCATGTTTAAAAGTAGATGCACATGCCTGTGGTCCCAGCACTTAGGATGCTGAGGCAGGGGGATCACTGCGAGTTGGAGGCCAGCCTGAACTACATAGTGAGACCCTGTCTCAGAAAAACAAACAGAGGGGGCTGGGGATTTAGCTCAGCAGCACAGCGGCCTAGCAAGTGCAAGGTCGTAAGCTCAAGTCCTGGTATTGGAAAAAAAACAAAACCAAAAAAAACCCAAAAAAACCAAAAAACCAAACAGAAAACCAGGGCGTGGAGGCCCATGCCTGTAATCCTAGCACTTGGGAGGCTGAGGCAGGAGGATTGTGAGTTGGAGGCCAGCTTGGGCTACAAAGTGAGCTCAAGGTCAGCCTGAACTGCATAGCGACACCCTGTCTCAAAACAAACAAAAAATATATATAATAATACAAAAAAATCTTTGTATCAACATGAGAAAATGTAACTGAGGTGGGCTCTGAGGTGGGAAGAGAGAGGGACTATGCTCCAAGAAAGCCTACTTTCACTTTATATTTGTTATTTTGTCCTTTTAGGCTTTTTTTTTTTTTAAAGCCCCATATGCCTAGTACCTGACCCTAAAAATAAAACGGAAAATAAGTTGCTTTTTGGCAGTCTTCCTTGGTCCCTGCCCTCAAGGGCCTCCAGTGTCTGAGGCCTGTGGTTTAGGGCAGACTGGGAGCTAGGAGCTCGGCAGGGGACAGCTAGGATCTGACTCATGTCTGCATCCCCTCCCAGACTGGGCCGGGCCTGAGTGGCTGCTGGGTAAAGAGAGCTGAATGAATGAATGGATGAATGAATGGGCGGATGGACACGGGCAGGCCATGCTGGCCACACCACCACACCGAGGGCCATAACCAAAGGGACTATATTTAACCCCAAAGGGACAGCAGCTGTCACCCACCCCCACAGGGCCAGAGGACAGGGGCTAGGGATGTGGCAGGGCTGATGCTTCACCCTGACTTCCTGCCCTAAATGCTGCTCCCAGCAGCCCTTGTGCCGGGGTCCTGGGAACAGGC